GTTTTTCTATGTACATAACCATCAAATAAAGCATATGAGTTTATGGATATCTTGTTGAAACTTTATAATGCATTTAAATGTTTAGTTGAGCAAAAACCCCAGAATGTGCGAGGGACCCAGTATCTGCTTGCTAAATGTTTTCTGGTGTTTCTGACTCATTGTCTGCAGAGTTAAAAACAGGATTCTGTAGAAGAGTTTCCACAGTGACAGAGAAACTTGATTCTTTTTGTTGGCTGTATGGACATCACATTCTACATTTCTGCACACACCACCATTTAATGGCCTGCTGTTGACTCATTGTGGGCTGTGGGCAAGGGTACACCCCTATTTATCCCCAAAATGAAGGCATGTCTTGCCAAACAGGAAACCTTTGTTAGGAGTCAGGCTTCACCACCAATGCCAGGGTTGGAAATTGTTGGGGAACAAAAAACATGAGGGCAGACAAAGTTATTTCAAAGTATGCCAAAAATACACCATTTGACCCCATTCCATGTGTTTTTGTCTGCCTTTCAGGATTTTTCACTAAATTCTTGCAAATCTAATGCTGTGTTCCAAATAACACAATGAAGCTAACATTTGACAAAGATTTAAAATGTTAGACAACAGAATGGTCATCAAAATAAGACAAATTTAACTTAATAGACTTTAAAGTTAAAGTGTAACTACACACCCACCCCCATGCAGCAGAGATATTTGAAATATTTGGGAATATTGATTATAACCCTAATTAGTAACATATTTGATTTGAATGCACAACCTTTATTATACTCTATAAAGGAAGAGTGTAGAAGGTGGTCAACCCTGCCTCTGTCCTTATAAAAGTGCTGAAGATGAACATTCTCCCAAGATTTTTATTTTCTTCAGTTCCTCTGTATATTCCAACATCTTGGTTTGATAATATAAACAGAATGTCATCTTTTTTGTGGATGGGTAAAAGCCTCTCAAAACTTCCCAAAGAATACCTTGATTACAATTATGAGACAGATTCAGGTCTTTAGCACCAGTCAGATGCACTGGTGGAGTGTCAGGATGTAGCTTTAACTCTGCTGTTTACCATGGGATCATCATCAAGGAAAAGATTGCAGTCCAGTGGGCTTCTACATCCGTCAAGGGTCCAAAAGACTGTGTCAAAATAGAAAAATACTGAGTTGACGGTTAGCAAAAACTATCGAAAGTCCTGTGAATTATGTGTCTCAATCAGCATATATTTGAATATGGCTTCACAGGCTCCCACTCAAGGGTGGAGGCTGGACGCCCACCTCTGATTAGAGGGTGTTAACGTTTGTTTTTTTATAGAAATATCATGACTTAAATTAGTCTCAGACAGTTGACTCTGTCAGCATTGGCCTTGCAAAGTTACGGGTTGATTGAAAACAGAAGATGGCGTGTTGAGTTTGTCCTTTGGCAGGCAGAGACCATGTGCAAAATGAGTTTAATTCTTCTGTCTCATTTCTGATTGGTGCAATTTAAGATTTTATAATTGCCCCTTATTATAATTGATTCAGCTCTCCCCTACTCCTGTCAGTAGTATACCATGCAAGTTGACAGCATGTCTCCAAATAAAGCCAGCCTTCAAATGTCAATCAACAGCTGCTATGTGACGCCTCGCCAGATGCTTAGAACTTAGAAGCTTAGTCTAAAAATAGTTTTATCCTCTTACCAAAAATGGAAATATTTGCCTCACATCTAACTTTATACTGCATTAGACAAAAAGTGACTGGGGTTCAAATTTCAGTTGGACTAAATTCTAATTCTGTGTATTTAATCATACTGTATGTGTTTGTCCATGCGGGTATGAATGTGTGGTCAGGGTCCTTATCGATCACAGACATGCTGCATACAGTATCCGTTGCTAAGACCTCCCTCTTTGACGATGGTATGTGTGTGCTCTGACTGATAAACCACTATTATCCACTCCATTAAATCTATTATCCCTTCACACTTTAAAACTCAAATCATGACATGACGGTAGCACCACATACATTAAACCTGTGTTGACACAGTTAAAAGCTTTTACTGGATGGTGTTCATTTTGAACACACCCTTATTTTTTCCTCTAAAATCGCTGTTACTGTGCTACAGCTTTCACAGTGATCCACAATTCACAAGGTCGGTTACTTATGGAGAGTGCCGCAAGAGCTGAGGTTGTCTGCAACCACACAGATGCATGGGATTGGGTTTACACCATGCAGCCTGCCTACATGTCCATCATCTGTCTTCTTGGAGTGATCGGCAACTCCTTTGTGCTTAGTGTGTTCTGTCTCCAGAAGCGACGCAGCTCTGTGGCAGACATCTACCTGAGCAACCTGGCAGCAGCTGATCTCCTCATGGTTTCCTGCCTGCCGTTCTGGGTTGCAACCATAATCAACAAGTTCCACTGGAGGTTTGGGGAGCCCATGTGCCAGCTAATCAACATTGTCATTGGGATGAATTATTATTGCAGTGTGCTGTTCCTTACGCTTGTGAGTGTGGACAGATACCTGGCCCTCACTAGACCCCTGACCCAGGGGAGGGAGAGACGGGCTTTCTGGGCACGTTGGATTTGCTTCAGTATCTGGATTGCTGGGGTCTTGCTCAGCTTCCCTGCTATCCTCTTCCGCTCTGTCCAATTCTTCCCTCATCTGGGCATTGACGCATGCTACCTAGCGTATCCCCATGAAGGCTGGAGACTGCGCTACAACATGACTGTCAGCATAGTAGGCTTCCTTATTCCTGTTCCTATTGTATCCTTCTGTAGTTACCACATAACTAAAGTCCTTCAGAGCAGCCAGAAGATGAGAAAAGGCAGCAGTGGCAGTGTGGAAAGGAAGGCTGCGTACCTCGTTCTTGTTGTTCTGGCTGTGTTCGTTCTCTGCTGGCTGCCCTACCAGATTCTGATCTTCTTGGACACTTTGGATCATTATGAAGTTGTCTTTGGATGTACGTGGGCACACGTGTTGGACATTGGCAACCAGTTAGCTACTTATCTTGGCTACAGTAACAGCTCATTGAATCCTTTCCTGTATGTGATTGTGGGGAAGCACTTTAAGCAAAGGGCAAGGGAAGTGTTACGACTTGTGCTGTGCAGGAGGAAACAACAGTGGCGGAAGTCTGGTCATTCCAATGCCAATCTTAACTCAACTAAACAAACTGAGAGTACTAAAATCTAAGTCTACACATATAGAGAAAAGTTTGACCAAAAGCAGCTGACGCTCATTCGCTTTCTTGCCGAAGGCCAGAGAAGACAGTCGATACCACTCTCATGTCTATAGGCTAAATAGGAAGCTATAGCCAGCAACCGGTTAGCCTAACTTAGCATAAAGACTGGGAAGACAGAGAAAGAGAAAAGCTAACTAGCTTCAAATTTACCATACATGCATGAGAGTGGTATCAGTATACTGATCCCCACCAAGTAATCTGTTGTGATGCAAAAGAATTTCTGACTGATATTTCTGGGAAGTAGTCCATGTCAGTGAAGCATAAAAAAATTCTTGATTAAACTGTATAAAAGTTCAAAGTAAAATATTTCATGTGAAATTATGCCGCTTCACAGTTTTGTTTGTGATACATAACCTCCAGAACTGTTAATGTTAATTAGTGTTTTCCATTATACTGTGTTGTGCTTGTTAATCTTGTTCTTGCTAAACAAAGCTGAAGTGGGCTGTCTTAGCAAAGCTTAATTTGGTGCCATCTCTCATGGCTGAAATCTGAGCATGTGTTATCTTTTTTCTAAGCAACCACCAGGATTGTTTTTCTAAGATATTGGAGTTCTGGAGAATCTTGAACCCACGTTGGAACTCCAACAGATGACATGAGAAAGACATTTGAAGTGCTGAATCCATCATGTTTGTGTGTAAGCCTGCCACTGTAGTATACACTGTATGTATAGAGTGAAATATAACTTTTCCTTCTGCTCTATCAATATAACCCCAAAAAAATTTGTAAAACAAATATCAACCACTGAGCAATTCCAGAAAATAAATGGTCCATTAAGGCGTTTAAAAAATAATTAAACAACCAAACAATCAACAATGTATCAGTGTTAATAAAGTATCATATACAGTTATGAAGAGGATGGAGTGTTGTGTTGTTTATACTGGAGGACAATGAACCAGATTCCCTTCCCTTTAAACTGCATGATTGTTGTAACTTTGACCATAAAAGGGATGCCACAGCCTCAACTATACTCATTTTTGGATAACACTTCTCATTGCAGACTGACAAGAAATGCTGTTTATATTTTGTCTTCCATCCAGTTTGATTGTTATTTGGTTTTAGACCATATCAAGCTTGTTATTGTTGCCATCTCATAAACCTGAGGCAGGATGTTTAGAATAGATAAGGAGAGGATTATACGTGAATTAAGGATAAACTGACGTACGGATAAGTCCATTTTTGTTTGCTTACTTATTTAGTCAAATATTTAGAAATTATTAACTGTAGATAAACATTGTAATGTTCATAAATTGATTAATTACTGATCAAAGCATTGACAGAGGTATTACAGACTGTGTAAATACGCAATAATCCTGTTGATGATCCTGTCAAACGAATAGATACCACATTTGAATGAAATGCTCCTAATGCATTGAGGTAATCCTCCATTTGGCCTTGAGGAATGTTATGATTACATGAAAACAATCTGTATCAGTATCACATAAGTGATCATTTTACTTTTTAAGTAGTACAACAATGCTTCCTTAGATATCTCATTTGTAAGTAACACTTTTTCTTTTCTGAAGTCTGCAGTAGTGCTGATGACGTCCAGTTTTATCTCCTCTCCAGCACATATGGTGTACTTCAGTTTCCGTCTCTAACATGTGCATAGGCCGAACTCTGACTCCTTGATAAACAAGTTGATATATTGAACTCCTTGGCCGAGGGTGTGGAAGAATGCAGTTATATACAAAAACATTCGTAGCAGAACTCCCCTCTGCCTCGCTGTGTACTTTTACCGTGAGCTCAGTGTACACAGATGAGCCCTGTTGCAGACGTGCCTTTTTCATTAGCATTTTGACCATAAGAGGAACCTTTTCATGAAACGTACGGTAAGAACTGTTCATGTTTCGTCCTGTGTTTTGTTCTGAGCATTAAAGTCTGTACTTGAAAAATACTAACAGGTGCTACACAGTCTTCACAATGTTTCTTGTCATATTTCTTTTTCTTGTTGTTCTAACTCTAATTGCATCCGAAGATTTATGGCACAACATGAAAACAATACACATTACAGACGCTCTTACTGAGACAATTACTGAAAAACTGATGAGCAACAGTTATTCTGTGAATATTATTATATAAATCTTGTTAAACTAAAAGGGAATAAATAAATTTGTTAATGTGTAGTTTCCTGTTTTCATCTGCAGATCCAAAACAGCCTAACTGTGAATGAACATGTCACCATGTTGGCAATATTTGTTCGTTTATGTATCATTTTACAACATGTTTTAATTATTTTATTGTATTTAAAGTGGAAATAACTTTACATATTCTGTTTTATTTCCGGTGCAGTAGTAATCACATATCATCATGTGTTTTAAATCAAATAAGAGCATTTTACAGATGAAATCTATTATTATTTTGTTTCCTAGTCCATGGAGCCAGTCAAGTTTGTACCTGTGGAAAAACTGTGGTCTGAAAACACCAGTGCATTTCTGCCATCAGAGTCTCCGATCTCTGCAGAATGGGAGATGGTCCAAACCATCATCCCCCCATACATTTTCTCCATATCTCTGTTAGGTCTTATCTTTAATGGCTTTGTCTTGGTGGTGTTCCTCGCCCACAAGGACCGACTGACTGTAGCCGAGATCTACCTGGGCAACCTGGCACTGGCTGACTTTATTCTCCTATGTGGCCTCCCCTTCTGGGCGATGAACATCCTCAACGACTTTAATTGGCCATACGGAGACACCTTATGCAAAATGGTCAACTCCATCATCATCATCAATTTCTACACCAGCATCTACACCCTGGTCATGATTAGTATTGACCGCTACCTGGCACTTGTGAAGACCATGAAGGCCAGGTGGCTGAGACGGACACTTTATGCCAAAGTGATCTGCTTGATCCTGTGGATACTAGGGATCTTACTGAGCACACCAACCATGGTTCACAGAAAGGTGAAGTTCATCAAGGAGTTCGACACAATGTCCTGTATACTTGATTATAGCCATTACAGCTCTTGGAAGTTGGCCCATCAGATTCAGATGAACGTGGTGGGCTTTGTACTCCCTGTTCTGGTCATTGTTTTCAGCAGTCGAAACATAATCATGGCTATAGCACAGAGGGGGGAGAGTGTAGGTTTTCATGACATTAATGACACAAAGGCCACAGCGCTGGTGTATGCTGTCACACTACTATTTTTACTGTGTTGGGGTCCCTTCCAAGTATTCACTTTCTTCGACACACTCTGTGATTTTCACGTGTTGGATGAGGCGCTGTGGTTCCACACACTCAATATAGGCGGCCAGGTTTCAGTGTATCTAGCCTTTCTCAACAGTGCTCTGAACCCACTTTTGTATGTCCTCTCAGGGCAATACTTTAGGAGAAAAGTTAGCGCCATCTACAGGAGGACGAAACATCACCGCAGAGGGTCAGATGTGACAACATACCAGCGCTCTGTTGTGTCCACTTACATCAACAGAACTGAGCACATTAAGCCTGTGGTCATTTTTTATGCAAAAGATCAGATGTGACTCTTCCTGACATCTTGACCACAACTTCCATTACTTTTTATGGAAGTGATGCAATATACAGGATATGAGCCTCAAATTGTTATTTCTTGTCTTCTAACACAATAATAATTCTGTTATAGGGTTATACAGCACTATCAGGGGATGTTTAATACTGCTTTGCGGAAATAATGGACACAATCAGAGATAATGGACATAAACTGTTGATGAAAAGGAAGCAGATTTTATGTTTACAGTCTCCATAAAGACACTTACGCCTTTCTCTGTGAACAAAGATTATGTGTATCCGACTCTGTCTCTTTCAGCTGTTGCATACTGTCCATTCTTTGTCTTGACTACACAAAGCAGTTTACACTCTTTGCCCATCTCCCTTGTGTACATTTACATTTTACAGTATATCTAGACATGTAAACAAACCATCTGTTCAATAGTTACATACGTAGTTATGCCAGTTTATATTAAGTATCAACACCCATTACCAAAGCATATTGAATTCACTTGAAAATTTATTTTTGGTTTGTTTTTCGGAGTAATTTATTTTTATGGTTGGTTTTTCTGAGTAATTTGTTTCTGCTTTTTTGAATATTTTTTTTTCTGTTTTTCTGACAATTCTTTTTTCTGAGTTTAGAGAGCATTTGAAACAATAGACACATTCATTCCTTTATTGAGAGCTCAATTTAACGGAAACAAACATGACCAGCTTCTTTAGTTCAATCAAGTTTTACTTTGATCTGGGTTTAAGACACTGGGAGATAGTCGTCTTTAAGTCATATAGATGGTATTATCATTAGTTTGTTGACTCTACGCAGGCACCTGAGGACTTTGTGGTTGTTCAGAAGGAAAGCCCATTCAGATCTGCTAGACATAGCAATGTTTCTCCAGGATCAGCTGGACAGATATGGCATGCTCCATGGATACAAGATGATGCATTTGAAATGCATTCAGGCTGGCTCCGAAAAACAGAAAAAAAATACTTTGTAAAACAGGAAAAAATTACTCAGAAAAACAGGGGAAACATTTAGTCAGAAAAACAGGGGAAACATTTAGTCAGAAAAACAGGAAAAAAAAATTGTCAAAAAAAACAAACCAAAAAATAAATTACTCAGAAAAACCGCAGGTTTTTTTTTTTTTCAAGTGACTGCAATACGCTTCTGTACTTAAGCTATGATTGTTTGTTACTGGAATAATTTGTATAAACAACTTCAATGAACACCTGAAGTACTATAATAAATAATAAAAACATTAATCATGAATGTTAAGACATGATGTAAGGTATTACCTGTTGGAGACTTTGTTGAGTAAAATCAAGTTAACAGGTCCAAAGTGATGAATTTACCTACTAACATTATCACACTTAAAGGAGCAGTGTGTAGGATTCAGTGGCATCAAACTCTGAAGTTTGTTTCAACCGAGCGTGTTGGAGAAACTATGGTGGCCTGTGATCATGAAGGCAAAGAAAATACAAAAATTCTTATTTTCAGGTGATTACATACTTATGAAACGGCAAGGAATGTCAGTGCAACAATGTAAATTTTAATAAAAATAAGAACAGTACTCTTATCCATGGTCATTGTAAACTCAGTCATACATCAGCAATGACGCCAATGCACAAACACTGCAGTTCCATGAACAGCTAATTGAGGCTGCAAAAGTAAGTCGATGTTCATAACCACCCACAGCAACCCAACTTCACACCAGAAAAAAAAATTTTGTTGTTGTTTACAGTCTGGTTAAACGGTTTTAGTTTATATAGCTAAATTCCATGTTTATGACAACTCTATGTGGGATGAAATTGTATTTAACTCACCCATCTAAATTATATTAAGGCTAAAAATTATACATAATTAAGGATGTGCCCACTTTGAGGGACGAGTGGGTGCTGTCTCCGGTGGCTGGTTTCAGCAACCAGGTTTCATTTGGCCCACCTAAGCTCCATCCACACTCCACATCTTTGCTTATTTTTGGATTACCCTGGTGCCAATGGAGTCAGGCACTGCCAAAAATGGTGATGGCCATAGCCAACCACTCTCAGCTTTACAATGGCTTTCACAAACCTATGGGGGACATTACAGAGACTACATCCATATGTGCTAATATGGGTCAGCCATTTGGTCTATGTTCCAACTTGAGATCCATTTCCAGCAGTTTATTGTCTAAATCTAATTACATTAACAACCCTAGTTAATTACTGCAAGGCTTTGTTTTGGCCTGATTTAATCTTGTTTATGCCCATGCATTGTACTGATCATCCCATTTCCCTAGCTTGCTACGCCTTTCATTCCCTGGAAGTGTATTTTATGAAAGTTTTGTGCTATGCAGGCCAAAAATCTGTGTTTTCTTTCACTCAAGAAAATGCAGAGAGGTTTCTAACTTGTGTTGTTTTTTCTATCCTTTTTTGTAGTTTCAGTGAGCACCGTTAGAGCTATTGCAAATACTCACTATTGCCAGATAGCTATGAACATGTTTACAATCATACTTTGGTCAGTATGATTGTAAAACATGTATTAAATTGCATTCTATGTAGTCTTAAGAAGTATTAAATTTAACTTTATGAAACCTTCTCTTTTCCTCTATCTACTTTTTAAGTTTCACACTTCACAAGTTCTGGTTGTGACAGTGCATGAACACACAAGACAGTCTAGTTCTCATACACTACTAAGGACTAGTGCCTAAAAGGGAATTTAGATCTGCCTGGAACTGGAGAGTGAGGCGTTTCAGTGTCTGGAAACAAAAGCAAACATTCAACCCGCTGTTAAAGGTTAAAGGTGGTTCACTCAAACACAGAACCTCAAGTTCTCATGACCTGCTTGTAAATATTTCTTGTGTATATCTATGGAATGTTCACCCTCTTTTACAACTATATCAGTCTAGTATTTTTTAGAGCAACAGAAAAAGGGAGTGAGCACATGCCAAGTAGGAGTTCCAAGGATTCTTCTGACGTCATTTTCCTTTCTTCTTTAAGAGAGCGGGTCAGAGTCAGAGACAAACAGAGTACAGTAGCAGACGTGTGGAACAGTGTGTATTTGGACATTTTACAGACATGAATTTAACAACGGAAGGAGGAAAGACCCTTGTGCCTACAAGGTATGCAAATATATTACTTTTCTATGTTTTACCATTATTCACAGTAGTTAAAGAGCCACAAACAACAACATTGTATAACCTCAGTAATGTTTTGTTCTTTAAAACACTGTCTGTGAATGACAGTATGCAGACGCTTTACAAAAATGTACCAACCTTTATTAAAAAAAGCTATCTCAAACAGAAATCTAGAATCTAGACAGGGCATATTAAGGAGTAAATATCAGAGAGATTTTAGTGAGACAGAAATTTCTAAAAGTTTATTTGTGTCTGGCTTATACATAAATACAATTACATACATGTATTAAATTAAATTGCATTTATTATGATGAATGCAGTCCTTCAGATGTAAATACTGTCAAAGTTTGTGTTATTCGCAATTGCATGTGTATGGCTTATGTATTAAAGACAACACAGAGAAAAGTTTACTGAACAAATACAACAATAGTTACAACAACAAGAGGAACCTGACATACAACAAATGTTCCCTCACAGATTAGATGCAGCAGAATTGCAGTTCATGTTCAGTGCTTTAACCCGACGCAGATATTATTCCATTATTTCTCTTTCTTTTCTTTCTTTCTTTTTTTTGAAAATGATCCTATCCATTATTTAAAGCACAATGGTAGTCTTGTTAGTATATCACATCTGCAGAATATCCTGCCCTCTGCATTGTTTATTTGCCAAGTCTTCATTATTTTAAGGTTTGTGTCTCAGGACAGAGCACCTAGTATCAAATGAATAATTATTTAGTCGTTAACGAAAGTTGGAACATTATTTATTAATGATTTGTTTATCAGTACTGAACAGCTAATAAAGGACATACAATAGAATAATACATTTGATATTTTGTGCATTCCAGGTGTTATCAATAAAACAGATGTTGGGTTGCTTTGGTTTCATAAAGAAAAAATAAAGTAAAATAAAAAATATAAATATATAAAAAAAATAAAAAATAGATAGTTAACATGCAAAATTAAAAAGTGATATTTTTTTAAATGTAAGACTTTTTTTTTTTTTGTTTGTTTGTTTTTTACAAAAACTGTCAACTCCAATAGTCTTTCATTACTTCCCAAAACATCTACCTTGAAATCAGTGGCCAGACCACAAACTGCCACACCATTGTTTGTTTTATTTAATGACTGTAATACCAGTCATACCACCCTTATCTATAATCACCTTCTCTGGTGACTGCAATAAACAGAGAACATAACTATTTTACAGTATTTCATTTCACAGTTGACAGGCATTCAGTATTCAGTATTACTAGATAAAGTATTACAGTATCTCACAGTGTTCCGAGTCACTCAGGAGTAAATGATTAACAAAACGTTGTCCTTTGTCTCTCCACAGTGCCCCTCCTGACTGTTCATCTTTAGACTCTGACGATTGGACCAAAACTGGGATGCCGGTGTTCATCCTGCTGATCACTGCGCTGGGGATTGTGTTTAACGTGTTTGTGCTCGTGGTTTTCTGGTTTCATAAGAAGCCCTGCACCGTGGCTGAGATCTACTTGAGCAACTTGGCTGCTGCTGACCTTGTTCTGGTGTCCTGTTTGCCCTTCTGGGCTGTCAACATATTGAATGGTTTCAATTGGATTTTTGGTCTGTTCCTGTGCAAAGTTGTCCACATGGGCATAAATATGAATGTCTACGGCAGCATATACTTCCTCGTTCTGGTTAGCATAGATCGCTTTATGGCACTGGTGCATCCGTTGTCCCAGAACAGAATGCGTAGGCCAAAGTATGCCAAACTGGCCTGTCTGCTGGCGTGGGGGTTGAGCTTGCTCCTGAGTGTCCCTGTGATCATATACAGGAAAGTGAAACCTGTTTGTAATATTACTTTTTGCGGCTTGGATTTGGAAGAAAAAGATGCCCGGCTCCTTGACTGCATGCTGACTTTTTTCAGCTTCATCATCCCCATTTGCATAGTTTCCTGCTGCACTGTCAAGATTATTCAAGCTCTGAATGGCCGGTTAACAGAGGGGTTAAACCAGAAAACGGAGCACAAGGCCACCACTCTGGTGCTGGCAGTTCTCCTGGCTTTTGTGATCTGCTGGCTGCCATTCCACCTGGTTAAGTTGGTAACTTTGTTCCCAAGTCCTGATGTCCTGAAGGGAAACCACCTAGACAACTGCCGCTACATCTTCACCTGTTTAGCCTTCTTCAACAGTGTTCTCAACCCCATCCTCTACGTTATTGTAGGAAAGAACTTCCGTAAAAAAGTTACGGAACTCTTTAAGCAGGAAGACAGGAGAGTGTCTTTCAGTACGTCCTCCACACGCACCTCAAAACTCATGAAAAGCATCAGAGAATAAGGTGATCTGCAGGACTGGGATTTGTTTTTGAGGACCAAGGGCATATTTGTTTTGTTTTTTTACACTTTCACATAATAAAATGGGCTGTTATTTGCACAGATGTACTACAGGAAAAATAGTTGAAGTTATACCCACAATATGTTTGTGTAGTCTGAATACACAGGTTTTATTTTCTGTTTCACCCACAGTTTGCAAAAAGGTGAATTTGAGACTTACTTGATTAGGAGCATGATATACCCTTTTTACGATTACCCATCAGATTCTGCTTAATATGATTGTTTGCTGTGGGTGGAACATAACTCAGGGTTTTCCTTAAAGAAGTACACCACCATAAAACATTTTTTTTTTACCTAATTATATGACTGTACTGTGATGATGCTGGTGTTAGGTTGAAAAGGTTGAAAAAGGCTCAATACGCCCTCTACTGTTTTAAATCACCCTCAACCCCATATACCCAATGCTGACATAGAGTCGACCGTTTAGGACTAATTGACATCAAGACATTTATATGAAAAAGAAGTGTTAATGCCCACTAATCAGAGGATTGGAGGGCATTAACACCAGCCTCCACTTTGAGTTAGCTCTGACTACCAGTCTTAAACCTTTCTCAGCACATTCTGTGATGTAGAGATAGTCTCACACTTCCATATGAAAAATCCGGTTGTGGTGCATCTGGCCTTTCTTAACATTCTCCTGAGCCCATTTAATTCTCTGGGCAACACTTCAGGAGGAAGGCTAGAAGTCAGGAAGGAAGACAAGACATGATCACAGGTAATCATACGACCATATATAAATGCTCTGTTGCGTTTATTAACATCAACTGAAGAAATCATGGATGTGGTCTTTTTTTGTGTGGGTTTATTTTTGGGGAAATATACAAAGTATAAAATATGTAAATGCATGATTTTGAGATTTCAGAAACTCTTGTGACAAAGTATCCAAAAAGCCTCTAGGACCAGACAGCTTAGAAAGAAAGTGAAGAAGAGTCCCCGTAGACATTTTACATCTCTGACACATAGCAGAAACTCCAAAATTAAGCTTATAAGGAGTATTATTATATGTTCTCTGTAAGATTTTATATTGAAAGTGTCTGTGTGGGTGTGGTACTGGTAATGCAAGTGATTTCTAGGATATTTGACACAAATGACCTAACTGCTGTGTGATCAGAAATGCTTTCAGCCTTAACACAATAATAACGCTGCTCCATAATTTAACAGCACTACCATACTGTGTTATATATTACAGAAGTAATGGGCAGATAATGGAAGTAATGTACACAAGAAATGGAAACTGTCTCTGTCTGATACCGCAAGGGTTTATCCTCTTAATATGACATTTTAATGGTGTTCCATGCCTGTCTGTGTGTATCCCTGTAAATATGTTTTTCTGTACTTTTACATGGTGTTACTCTGACTGTCTTGTGATATTTACATGGTGTTACTCAGGCTGTTTTGTAATATTTACATGGTGTTAGTCTGGCTGTCTTGTGATATTTAAATGCTAAATTCCCAAAACAAACCCTGCCATTGTTTACATATGTCCATATATCCCTTACCATTGTGTATAATCAACTCCACTATCTACACTTTGTGTATACATTTGCATGCTTGTACAGTTTGTTGCTTTGTACATTTTATTTACTATTCAAAGTCACAGTAGCCTTCAGAGTAGTGACTCACACAGTCATGCCCGTGTCTCTTTACAGTCTAAACACAATGCCACTGTCGCTGAAACAACCTCTGTGAATGAACTCAGACACATTTTGCATAATCTATGTAATGTAACACCTGGAGTGGCATAATTGTAAAAGACCAAGACTATTATGCTGGTATACAAATAGATTTACAGCTATGTGAGTTAAAAAAAAAAGACAGAAGCTTTCCATGATGAATGAAGTTCCTTCTTTTTCAGAAGTATGTTTAAGAAATTGATTCCATCAGAAATATCTGTAATTTCTGTTTCCTTTAAATAATAAAACATAAATATTAAATTATAGCTTGTGCCTTTTTCTTAGTCCCCAGTATAACAGTATATTAATTTATTTAGTGAATTGTTTTTATATAGTCATTGAGGAGGGGAACAACAGATTTCTGTTTTAAAGGGGAAATGTGCCGACTCTACACACCAAAGTCTGTTTACAGGTCTTGGGGAGTACTACTGCATATGGGGGGGAGAAGTTTTACAGAGCCTTGTACAGCTCCAGAAAGTCACTTGGCAAAGTGAGTTTACCAAACATCCGCCTCTGCACAAGGCCAGACTACCGAGGCTACATTAGCAGCAACTACCATAACACACCTTGCTTCTAAAAATCAGGCACTAAAAAAAAACTGATGTTTAGGTATACTTGAGAGTTGATGTGAGCACCAGCACGTCCACCATGCCTTTATTTAGTGAGCTGGGGTTCCTGAGTATTAGACTAAAAATGGACTTGGATGGAGCCAACTCAGTGAGCAGGATTGTCAGTGTCAACAGCATCTCAACAGCAACTAGATGACTATTCCACTTGATGCTGCTTTGCAGGTTGTCTGTGCCTGGCTTGTCTCAGGAGCATAATGCTTTGCCATATTTCACCTTAATGAAATACAACTGAAGTAACAGGATCCTCCACTGCACCACATTGGCACTGATGGCAGGAGATGATACAATATGCAAATGCATGCTTTTCCTGCCAAGTCCAGAAAAGCCTCCATGGGTCTAGACTAACCAGTCTTCACCCGTTTGCTTTGTCGAGGGATTATCCTTTATTTAGGTTAAAAGTAGCAATACCACAATCTAAAAATACTCCTCATACTCATTTTAAGTAAAAATCTGCATTTAAAAGCCTACACTATACCTAAGTATTACCAGCTAAATATTTAAAATATCATGAGGATATGCTATTATGCATAATATCATTCGATTGTAAATACTACAATCATTTTACTGTTATAGTCTACAAGAACCCCTTCAAAAAGTCTGTCATTACGATTTTGTTTTAAATTGTTCTCTAAAGTTTTATCTCTTTTTTCTGAAACATTGGATAATTTCCCTCCTTTAGGCCAAGCAGTTATTTAAATGAAATAAAAAATCTGAGAAGTTCAGAAGGGAAATGTCTCTTTGGTTGAACAGCTGACAACTTCAACATCTGAATAATAAATTACATAATAATAAACTTTATTTGCATAGCACTCATCCAAACAAGGTTACAAAGTGCTGGACCAAATAAATGAGATCAAAACAAACCAACAACGAAAGATATAAAAATATAAGTAACCATACAAAACACAGTTAAACCATGGAGAGTTTGGAAAAGGTTGAATATAAATGTAGTGGCGAAAAATGTACAATATCTTGTACTGGTAAAAGTATAGTAGCATAACGTATTATCTCAGATTAGTACTTAATCAGTGCAGTACATCCACAGTAATTAGTAAATTTGCTTAGATACCACCACTGCTGATTTGATCCTATAGTTGATGATATAGTGTGTGCTGTTTAAGAGCCCCTAAGCAAGGCAATATACAATCTGTTGCATTGTCTGGATGTTCCTGCTGATCACAAGAACATGTAAATCTCACCGGCCGTTCAAGTTTCCAAACTTTAAAATAGGCTACAATTTAATCTTTGGGTTCATCCTGTGTCAACGCTGGGGAAATAAAACAACATCCACATTGAATGCACTGGACGCTGTTTTCATTTTTAGCATAACCAAACATGTTCTGCCTGAAACTATTTGCATTGCAGAGCTTATCTTATCCAACACAACACCGAGCTTCCATTTCCTTTCACATTCGAGGTTTGATCATCATCAAGTAAGAATGGATGCAGCTCTCCTCAGCCAGACAAACTCAAGTACATCTAACTCCTGCACCGTGTAGTCCTCGGTGGAAAAGAACATGTATCCAACTGTCTATTCTCTTTTTTTTATTGTGGGATTTCCGGCTAACTGCCTGTCTCTGTATGCAGCCTGGATGCTGATGAGGAATGGGAACAGCACGGCAGTCTACCTCGTCAACCTGTCCATCTCTGATCTGCTCTACACAATCTCTCTGCCAGTTTGGATTGAGCTGGCCCTGCAGAGGCCTGTGGGTGGTCTCTGCAGTTTGGTGGCTGTAATCATGTACAACAGCTTTTTGTAATCATGTACAACAGCTTTTAGCCTGCGTCTGGGCCACGAAGCTCAAAGATCCATACCTGGTCACAGTTGCCACGACCACCATAAACAGTACAATGGATCCTATAATATACTGTTTAATCAATGAGAACGCTAAGAACAAGATTAGGAAAGCTGTAGAGAAAGGTAGGGGAGTTCTTTTGAGGGGAAGATGGTCAGACAGGTCTACTTCCTAACAACAGCATTATATTAAGCATTTCATTTTAACCTGTAATTGTGAATGAAATGGAAACTGTGAAATTGTGAGACAATCAACAATAAAAGCAAACATTTAACCCGCTGTTAAAGAGTTGGTTCACTCGAACACAGAACCTCAAGTTCCCATGACCAGCTTGTAAATATTTCTTGTGTATTTCTGTGGAATTTTCACCCTTTTTTATAACTATATCAGTCTAGTATTTATAAAGCAACAAAAAATGTACCACCCAAGTTTGTGTAGAACCTTTAACACATAGTTCAAGTATGTTGAAAAACAATCTCAATAAAATGAATGATCTCTGACGTAAAAAAGAGAAAAGAAAAACAATTCTGTAAACAGAAACCTTCCTGCAAACAGACTAAAGTGCTTTGTTTACAGTGTTAATAGAAGATGGAAAAAAATAGAATGGGGAATATGGAAGGGGGGGGGTTGATAGAGCATGCCAAGTAGGAGTTCCAAGGATCCTTATGATGTCATTTTCCTTTCTCCTTTAAGAGAGTGGGTCAGAGTCAGAGACAAACAGAGTAAAGTAGCAGACGTGTGGAACAGTGTGTATTTGGACATTTTACAGACATGAATTTAACAACGGAAGGAGGAATGACCCTTGTGCCTACAAGGTATGCAAATATATTACTTTTCTATGTTTTACCATTATTCACAGTAGTTAACAAGAGCCACGAACAACAACATTGTATAACCTCAGTAATGTTTTGTTCTTTAAAACACTGTCTGTGAATGACAGTATGCAGACGCTTTACAAAAATGTACCAACCTTTATTAAAAAAAAGCTATCTCAAACAGAAATCTAGAATCTAGACAGGGCATATAGGGAGGGACAACCCGCTCAAATAATCCCAAGTACTTTTACTGTTCCACAACCGCAGCTCTGTGATTTTAATTGTCTCAACATGTTTAGTGCTACATCTTGGCAATAAGATCTTTATAACCAATATTAAAACCATTGTGCTGTTTGTAACAACTTTGTAAAAATATTCTTGATGCATTTAAATTAAAAGCAGGTTAACACTATAATGGTGGGTTTGGGTGCTAAATGTCAACAGGTCAAAAAGTTAGACTTGACAAATTCAACTGTTGCATATGAATTCAAGTGGGAAAAAGAGCTGTGATTTAAACTGTCACGACTGAACTATGGACCAGAACCCAAATGCACAATTCTCAGACAAAAGTTTCAAAATAAAGTTTTTATTAACAAACAGAAAATCACTCTAAAACAGGGGTGTTAAACTTATCCGTGAAAGGGCCGGTGTGGCTGCAGGTTTTCATTCCAACCATGCAGCAGCACACCTGACTTGGTTCATTCAATCAACTGAACTGTCTTCACGCAGTCATTTCAGGTGCCCTCTTGCTTGATTGGAACAAAAACTTGCAGCCACTCCCACCCTTGATTAAAGCGTCGGTGTGGCTGCAAGGTTTTGACTGTGTGAAGACAGTTCAGTTGATTGAATGAACCAAGTCAGGGGTGCTGCTGCATGGTTGGAATGAAAACCTGCAGCCACACCGGCCCTTTCACGGATCAGTTTGACACCCCTGCTCTAAAACAAAGAATATAAGAAAACAACAAGACCTGACAATGGCTGTGGTACAGATAAAGCACTGATTCTCTGACACATGGGAAAAGACAAACTGGCACAGGACAAAGGGAGACACGGACTATATATACACACAAGGTAAGGGCACAGGTGGAAACAATCAGGGCGGAGACAAGTAATCCCAAGACCGGGAAAACAGACAAAAGGGAGAAAGTAACACTGGTGACAAGAGACAGACAGGAAGTGGAAACAAAATAAAACAGGAAATCACAAGACAACATAGACACGAGACGAAACTGAGTGAATTAACTTAACAAAGTTTCCTGGACATGACATAAACAGCCTTTCCTGCAACTGCTTTTAATATTATGTCTTTGGCACTTTAAGGAGTAAATATCAGAGAGATTTTAGTGAGACAGAAATTTCTAAAAGTTTATTTGTGTCTGGCTTATACATAAATACAATTACATACATGTATTAAATTAAATTGCATTTATTATGATGAATGCAGTCCTTCAGATGTAAATACTGTCAAAGTTTGTGTTATTCGCAATTGCATGTGTATGGCTTATGTATTAAAGACAACACAGAGAAAAGTTTACTGAACAAATACAACAATAGTTACAACAACAAGAGGAACCTGACATACAACAAATGTTCCCTCACAGATTAGATGCAGCAGAATTGCAGTTCATGTTCAGTGCTTTAACCCCACGCAGATATTATTCCATTATTTCTCTCTTTCTTTTCTTTCTTTCTTACTTTTGAAAATGATCCTATCCATTATTTATAGCACAATGGTAGTCTTGTTAGTATATCACATCTGCAGAATATCCTGCCCTCTGCATTGTTTATTTGCCAAGTCTTCACTATTTTAAGGTTTGTGTCTCAGGACAGAGCACCTAGTATCAAATGAATAATTTATTAGTCGTTAACGAAAGTTGGAACATTATTTGTTAATGATTTGTTTATCAGTAAAATAAAAAATATAAATATATATAAAAAATAAAAAATAGTTAACATGCAAAATTAAAGAGTGATATTTGTTTAAATATAAGGCTTTTTTTTGTTTGTTTGATTTTTTTTTACAAAAATTGTCAACTCCAATAGTCTTTCATTACTGTGTTTACTGCTGTCAGTTAAACACGTTATTAACAGCGTTAACGCAAACACATTTTGACGGCGTAATTTTCTTTATCGCGAGATTAACTATTGTTTAACTTTGCAGTTTTTTTCACATGCTGTTGCAACAACTAGTAAGTTAGAAAAAACTACAACACCACACCGGATCTAGCTAGACTTGAAACAAAACAACAAAGAGCAGTAGACCTTACGTTTTGAGTGGATGGCGAGCGCGAGACGCCGAAATGGATGGCAATAATATTCTGAATGGAAAGTTTACTTTTAAAAAGTTGCTAAATGGTTCCATTGACAAGACCAAAGTGATCTGTGTGTTTTGTCGTTGTGAACTGAGCTATCATCGCAGCACGTCCAGTCTGAAATACCACTTGAGGCCAAACACAAGGTTGATAGGAATTCTCCGACCCCTCATCAAAGCCAGGCGACCGTGGATGATTTTTCGATAAAAACAACATTTTCACAAAGCAAGCCAATCCACTTTTCCATGTTGATGAGAGCATTAAAATGAGAAAAAATAATGGGACAAAAAGAAATCAAGGGACATTTAGAATAGATAAAAATGTGCGAATAATTGCGAGTTAACTATGACATTAATGCGATTAATCGCAATTAAATATTTTAATCGTTTGACAGCGCTATTTGTTTTATTTAATGACTGTAAAATTGACTCATACCACCCTTATCTACAATCACCTTCTCTGGTGACTGCAATAAACAGAGAACATAACTATTTTACAGTGTTTCATTTCACAGTTGACAGGCATTCAGTATTCAGTATTACTAGATAAAGTATTACAGTATCTCACAGTGTTCCGAGTCACTCAGGAGTAAATGATTAACAAAACGTTGTCCTTTGTCTCTCCACAGTGCCCCTCCTGACTGTTCATCTTTAGACTCTGACAATTGGACCAAAACTGCGGTGCCGGTGTTCATCCTGCTGATCACTGCGCTGGGGATTGTGTTTAACGTGTTTGTGCTCGTGGTTTTCTGGTTTCATAAGAAGCCCTGCACCGTGGCTGAGATCTACTTGAGCAACTTGGCTGCTGCTGACCTTGTTCTGGTGTCCTGTTTGCCCTTCTGGGCTGTCAACATATTGAATGGTTTCAATTGGATTTTTGGTCTGTTCCTGTGCAAAGTTGTCCACATGGGCATAAATATGAATGTCTACGGCAGCATATACTTCCTCGTTCTGGTTAGCATAGATCGCTTTATGGCACTGGTGCATCCGCTGTCCAAGAACAGAATGCGTAGGCCAAAGTATGCCAAACTGGCCTGTCTGCTGGCGTGGGGGTTGAGCTTGCTCCTGAGTGTCCCTGTGATCATATACAGGAAAGTGAAACCTGTTTGTAATATTACTTTTTGCGGCTTGGATTTGGAAGAAAAAGATGCCCGGCTCCTTGACTGCATGCTGACTTTTTTCAGCTTCATCATCCCCATTTGCATAGTTTCCTGCTGCACTGTCAAGATTATTCAAGCTCTGAATGGCCGGTTAACAGAGGGGTTAAACCAGAAAACGGAGCACAAGGCCACCACTCTGGTGCTGGCAGTTCTCCTGGCTTTTGTGATCTGCTGGCTGCCATTCCACCTGGTTAAGTTGGTAACTTTGTTCCCAAGTCCTGATGTCCTGAAGGGAAACCACCTAGAAAACTGCCGCTACATCTTCACCTGTTTAGCCTTCTTCAACAGTGTTCTCAACCCCATCCTCTACGTTGTTGTAGAAAAGAACTTCCGTAAAAAAGTTACGGAACTCTTTCAGCAGGAAGACAGGAAAGTGTCTTTCAGTACGTCCTCCACACACACCTCAAACCTCATGAAAAGCGTCAGAGAATAAGGTGATCTGCAGGACTGGGATTTGTTTTTGAGGACCAAGGGCGTATTTGTTTTGTTTTTTTACACTTTCACATAATAAAATGGGCTGTTATTTGCACAGATGTACTACAGGAAAAATAGCTGAAGTTATACCCACAATATGTTTGTGTAGTCTGAATACACAGGTTTTATTTTCTGTTTCACCCACAGTTTGCAAAAAGATGAATTTGAGACTTACTTGATTAGGAGCATGATATACCCTTTTTACGATTACCCATCAGATTCTGCTTAATATGATTGTTTGCTGTGGGTGGAACATAACTCAGGGTTTTCCTTAAAGAAGTACACCACCATAAAACATTTTTTTTTTACCTAATTATATGACTGTACTGTGATGATGCTGGTGTTAGGTTGAAAAGGTTGAAAAAGGCTCAACACGCCCTCTACTGTTTTAAATCACCCTCAACCCCATATACCCAATGCTGACATAGAGTCGACCGTTTAGGACTAATTGACATCAAGACATTTATATGAAAAAGAAGTGTTAATGCCCACTAATCAGAGGATTGGAGGGCATTAACACCAGCCTCCACTTTGAGTTAGCTCTGACTACCAGTCTTAAACCTTTCTCAACACATTCTGTGATGTAGAGATAGTCTCACACTTCCATATGAAAAATCCGGTTTTAGTGCATCTGGCCTTTCTTAACATTCTCCTGAGCCCATTTAATTTCTGGGCAACACTTCAGGAGGAAGGCTAGAAGTCAGGAAGGAAGACAAGACATGATCACAGGTAATCATACGACCATATATGAATACTCTGTTGCATTTATTAACATCAACAGAAGAAATCATGGATGTGGTCTTTTTTTGTGTGGGCATATTTTTGGGGAAATATACAAAGTATAAAATATGTAAATGCACTAGAATGATTCAAAACTATTTGTTATTTATATTGGTATAAATACAACAATACATGCTAATAAATAATAATAAGATATCAAGGGCCAACATACAGTCAAAGGTATTTTTCTTGATAGAATGCAGTATTTTTTCTATATTCATTGATACAGATTTTTTGCCGTTGGGAGTTGCAAGTCCAGTTTTAAAGTAAACATTTTCTCACTGCAGCCAGTTAAAAAAAAATTCTAATGCCACGCTAAGTGAGCTGGCATTACCCACATCCAAACTTTAGGATCAAAGTCAGCATGAGATTTTGAGATTTTGAGATTTCAGAAATTTCCAAAATGCCTCTAGAACAAAGAACGATAACAAATGACCTAACTGCTGTGTGTTTAGAAATGCTTTCAGACTTAACACAATAACAACACTGCTCCATAATTTAACAGAACTACCATACTGTGTTATATATTACAGAAGAGAAGAGATGGAAACTGTCTCTGTCTGATACCGCAAGGGTTTATCCTCTTAATATGACATTTTAATGGTGTTCCATGCCTGTCTGTGTGTATCCCTGTAAATATGTTTTTCTGTACTTTTGCATGGTATTACTCAGCCTGTCTTGTAATATTTACATGGTGTTAGTCTGGCTGTCTTGTGATATTTAAAAGCTAAATTCCCAAAACAAACCCTGCCATATTTTACATATGTCCATATATCCCTTACCATTGTGTATAATTAACTCCACTATTTACACTTTCTGTATACATTTGCATGCTTGTACAGTTTGTTGCTTTGTACATTTTATTTACTATTCAAAGTCACAGTAGCCTTCAGAGTAGTGACTCACACAGTCATGCCCGTGTCTCTTTACAGTCTAAACACAATGCCACTGTCGCTGAAACAACCTCTGTGAATGAACTCAGAAACATTTTGCATAGTCTATGTAATGTAACACCTGGAGTGGCATAAATGTAAAAGAGCAAGACTATTACGCTGGTATACAAATAGATTTACAGCTATGTGAGTAAAAAAAAAAAAAGACAGAAGCTTTCCATGATAAATAAAGTTCCTTCTTTTTCAGAAGTATGTTTAAGAAATTGATTCCATCAGAAATATCTGTAATTTCTGTTTCCTTTAAATAATAAAACATAAATATTAAATTATAGCTTGTGCCTTTTTCTTAGTCCCCAGTATAACAGTATATTAATTTATTTAGTGAATTGTTTTTATATAGTCATTGAGGAGGGGAACAACAGATTTCTGTTTTAAAGGGGAAATGTGCCGACTCTACACACCAAAGTCTGTTTACAGGTCTTGGGGAGTACTACTGCATATGGGGGGGAGGGGGGGAGTTTTACAGAGCCTTGTACAGCTCCAGAAAGTCACTTGGCAAAGTGAGTTTACCAAACATCCGCCTCTGCACAAGGCCAGACTACCGAGGCTACATTAACAGCAACTACCATAACACACCTTGCTTCTAAAAATCAGGCACTAAAAAAAAACTGATGTTTAGGTATACTTGAGAGTTGATGTGAGCACCAGCACGTCCACCATGCCTTTATTTAGTGAGCTGGGGTTCCTGAGTATTAGACTAAAAATGGACTTGGATGGAGCCAACTCAGTGAGCAGGATTGTCAGTGTCAACAGCATCTCAACAGCAACTAGATGACTATTCCACTTGATGCTGCTTTGCAGGTTGTCTGTGCCTGGCTTGTCTCAGGAGCATAATGCTTTGCCATATTTCACCTTAATGAAATACAACTGAAGTAACAGGATCCTCCACTGCACCACATTGGCACTGATGGCAGGAGATGATACAATATGCAAATGCATGCTTTTCCTGCCAAGTCCAGAAAAGCCTCCATGGGTCTAGACTAACCAGTCTTCACCCGTTTGCTTTGTCGAGGGATTATCCTTTATTTAGGTTAAAAGTAGCAATACCACAATCTAAAAATACTCCTCATACTCATTTTAAGTAAAAATCTGCATTTAAAAGCCTACACTATACCTAAGTATTACCAGCTAAATATTTAAAATATCATGAGGATATGCTATTATGCATAATATCATTCGATTGTAAATACTACAATCATTTTACTGTTATAGTCTACAAGAACCCCTTCAAAAAGTCTGTCATTACGATTTTGTTTTAAATTGTTCTCTAAAGTTTTATCTCTTTTTTCTGAAACATTAGATAATTTCCCTCCTTTAGGCCAAGCAGTTATTTAAATGAAATAAAAAATCTGAGAAGTTCAGAAGGGAAATGTCTCTTTGGTTGAACAGCTGACAACTTCAACATCTGAATAATAAATTACAATAATAATAAACTTTATTTGTATAGCACTCATCCAAACAAGGTTACAAAGTGCTGGACCAAATAAAGGAGATCAAAACAAACCAACAACGAAAGATAAAATATAAGTAACCATACAAAACACAGTTAAACCATGGAGAGTTTGGAAAAGGTTGAATATAAATGCAGTAGCGAAAAAAGTACAATATCTTGTACTGGTAAAAGTATAGTAGCATAACGTATTATCACAGATTAGTACTTAATCAGTGCAGTACATCCACAGTAATTAGTAAATTTGCTTAGATACCACCACTGCTGATTTGATCCTATAGTTGATGATATAGTGTGTGCTGTTTAAGAGCCCCTAAGCAAGGCAATATACAATCTGTTGCATTGTCTGGATGTTCCTGCTGATCACAAGAACATGTAAATCTCACCGGCCGTTCAAGTTTCCAAACTTTAAAATAGGCTACAATTTAATCTTTGGGTTCATCCTGTGTCAACGCTGGGGAAATAAAACAACATCCACATTGAATGCACTGGACGCTGTTTTCATTTTTAGCATAACCAAACATGTTCTGCCTGAAACTATTTGCATTGCATATATCAATTAATTTAGTGAATTAATTGTTTTTATATAGAGTTTACAGAGCCTTGTACAGCTCCAGAAAGTCACTTGGCAAAGTGAGCTCACCAACCATCCGCCTCTGCACAAGGCCAGACTACCGAGGCTACATACAGTTCCTTTGAGGGGAAGATGGTCAGACAGGTCTTCTGGAATTGAATCCATTTCCTAACAACAGCATTATATTAGGCATTTCATTTTAACCTGTAATTGTGAATGAAATGGAAACTGTGAAATTGTGAGACAATCAACAATAAAAGCAAATATTTAACCCGCTGTTAAAGAGTTGGTTCACTCGAACACAGAACCTCAAGTTCCCATGACCAGCTTGTAAATATTTCTTGTGTATTTCTATGGAATTTTCACCCTTTTTTATAACTATATCAGTGTAGTATTTATAAAGCAACAGAAAAAGTACCACCCAAGTTTGTGTAGAACCTTTAACACATAGTTCAAGTATGTTGAAAAACAATCTCAATAAAATGAATGATCTCTGACGTAAAAAAGAAAGAAGAAAAACAATTCTGTAAACAGATACCTTCCTGCAAACAGACTAAAGTGCTTTCTATACAGTGTTAATAGAAGATGGAAAAAAATAGAATGGGGAATATGGAAAAAGAGGGGGGGGTTGATAGAGCATGCCAAGTAGGAGTTCCAAGGATCCTTATGACGTAATTTTCCTTTCTCCTTTAAGAGAGAGGGTCAGAGTCAGAGACAAACAGAGTACAGTAGCAGACGTGTGGAACAGTGTGTATTTGGACATTTTATAGACATGAATTTAACAACGGAAGGAGGAATGACCCTTGTGCCTACAAGGTATGCAAATATATTACTTTTCTATGTTTTACCATTATTCACAGTAGTTAACAAGAGCCACGAACAACAACATTGTATAACCTCAGTAATGTTTTGTTCTTTAAAACACTGTCTGTGAATGACAGTATGCAGACGCTTTACAAAAATGTACCAACCTTTATTAAAAAAAGCTATCTCAAACAGAAATCTAGAATCTAGACAGGGCATATAGGGAGGGACAACCCGCTCAAATAATCCCAAGTACTTTTACTGTTCCACAACCGCAGCTCTGTGATTTTAATTGTCTCAACATGTTTAGTGCTACATCTTGGCAATAAGATCTTTACGACCAATATTAAAACCATTGTGCTGTTTGCAACAACTTTGTAAAAATATTATTGATGCGTTTAAATTAAAAGCAGGTTAACACTATAATGGTGGGTTTGGGTGCTAAATGTCAACAGGTCAAAAAGTTAGACTTGACAAATTCAACTGTTGCATATGAATTCAAGTGGGAAAAAGAGCTGTGATTTAAACTGTCACGACTGAACTATGGACCAGAACCCAAATGCACAATTCTCAGACAAAAGTTTCAAAATAAAGTTTTTATTAACAAACAGAAAATAACTCTAAAACAAAGAAACAACTATCACAGCTGCAGAATATCCTCCCCTCTGCATTGTTTATTTGCCAAGTCTTCATTATTTTAAGGTTTGTGTCAGGACAGAGCACCTAGTATAAAATGAATAATTTATTAGTCGTTGACGAAAGTTGGAACATTATTTGTTAATGATTTGTTTATCAGTAAAATAAAAAATATAAATATATATAAAAAAAAAAAATTAACATGCAAAATTAAAGAGTGATATTTGTTTAAATGTAAGGCTTTTTTTGTTTGTTTGGTTTTTTTTTACAAAAACTGTCAACTCCAATAGTCTTTCATTACTGTGTTTACTGCTGTCAGTTAAACGCGTTATTAACGGCGTTAACGCAAACACATTTTGACGGCGTAAATTTTTTTATCGCAAGATTAACGTTTGTTTAACTTTGTAGTTTTTTTCACATGCTGATGCAACAACTAGTAACGTTAGAAAAACTACAACACCACACCGGATCTAGCTAGACTTGAAACAAAACAACAAAGAGCAGTAGACTTTACGTTTTGAGTGGATGGCGAGCGCGAGACGCCGAAATGGATGCCAATAATATTCTGAATGGAAAGTTTACTTTTAAAAAGTTGCTAAATGGTTCCATTGACAAGACCAAAGTGATCTGTGTGTTTTGTCGTTGTGAACTGAGCTATCATCGCAGCACGTCCAGTCTGAAATACCACTTGAGGCCAAACACAAAGTCGATAGGAATTCTCCGACCCCTCGTCAAAGCCAGGCGACCGTGGATGATTTTTCGATAAAAACAACATTTTCACAAAGCAAGCCGATCCACTTTTCCATGTTGATAAGAGCATTAAAATGAGAAAAAATAATGGGACAAAAAGAAATCAAGGGACATTTAGAATAGATAAAAATGTGCGAATAATTGCGAGTTAACTATGACATTAATGCGATTAATCGCGATTAAATATTTTAATCGTTTGACAGCGCCCTTTGTTTTATTTAATGACTGTAAAACTGACTCATACCACCCTTATCTACAATCACCTTCTCTGGTGACTGCAATAAACAGAGAACATAACTATTTTACAGTATTTCATTTCACAGTAGACAGGCATTCAGTATTCAGTATTACTAGATAAAGTATTACAGTATCTCACAGTGTTCCGAGTCACTCAGGAGTAAATGATTAACAAAACGTTGTCCTTTGTCTCTCCACAGTGCCCCTCCTGACTGTCCATCTTTAGACTCTGACAATTGGACCAAAACTTCGGTGCCGGTGTTCATCCTGCTGATCACTGCGCTGGGGATTGTGTTTAACGTGTTTGTGCTCGTGGTTTTCTGGTTTCATAAGAAGCCCTGCACCGTGGCTGAGATCTACTTGAGCAACTTGGCTGCTGCTGACCTTGTTCTGGTGTCCTGTTTGCCCTTCTGGGCTGTCAACATATTGAATGGTTTCAATTGGATTTTTGGTCTGTTCCTGTGCAAAGTTGTCCACATGGTCATAAATATGAATGTCTACGGCAGCATATACTTCCTCGTTCTGGTTAGCATAGATCGCTTTATGGCACTGGTGCATCCGCTGTCCAAGAACAGAATGCGTAGGCCAAAGTATGCCAAACTGGCCTGTCTGCTGGCGTGGGGGTTGAGCTTGCTCCTGAGTGTCCCTGTGATCATATACAGGAAAGTGAAACCTGTTTGTAATATTACTTTTTGCGGCTTGGATTTGGAAGAAAAAGATGCCCGGCTCCTTGACTGCATGCTGACTTTTTTCAGCTTCATCATCCCCATTTGCATAGTTTCCTGCTGCACTGTCAAGATTATTCAAGCTCTGAATGGCCGGTTAACAGAGGGGTTAAACCAGAAAACGGAGCACAAGGCCACCACTCTGGTGCTGGCAGTTCTCCTGGCTTTTGTGATCTGCTGGCTGCCATTCCACCTGGTTAAGTTGGTAACTTTGTTCCCAAGTCCTGATGTCCTGAAGGGAAACCACCTAGACAACTGCCGCTACATCTTCACCTGTTTAGCCTTCTTCAACAGTGTTCTCAACCCCATCCTCTACGTTGTTGTAGGAAAGAACTTCCGTAAAAAAGTTACGGAACTCTTTAAGCAGGAAGACAGGAAAGTGTCTTTCAGTACGTCCTGCACACGCACCTCAAACCTCATGAAAAGCGTCAGAGAATAAGGTGATCTGCAGGACTGGGATTTGTTTTTGAGGACCAAGGGCATATTTGTTTTATTTTTTTACACTTTCACATAATAAAATGGGCTGTTATTTGCACAGATGTACTACAGGAAAAATAGTTGAAGTTATACCCACAATATGTTTGTGTAGTCTGAATACACAGGTTTTATTTTCTGTTTCACCCACAGTTTGCAAAAAGGTGAATTTGAGACTTACTTGATTAGGAGCATGATATACCCTTTTTACAATTACCCATCAGATTCTGCTTAATATGATTGTTTGCTGTGGGTGGAACATAATTCAGGGTTTTACTTAAAGAAGTACACCACCATAAAACATTTTTTTTTTACCTAATTATATGACTGTACTGTGATGATGCTGGTGTTAAAATTGACATTCTTATCAAATTTATGAAAATCTGCATGTTGTAGGTTGAAAAAGGCTCAACACGCCCTCTACTGTTTTAAATCACCCTCAACCCCATATACCCAATGCTGACATAGAGTCGACCGTTTAGGACTAATTGACATCAAGACATTTATATGAAAAAGAAGTGTTAATGCACACTAATCAGAGGATTGGAGGGCATTAACACCAGCCTCCACTTTGAGTTAGCTCTGACTACCAGTCTTAAACCTTTCTCAACACATTCTGTGATGTAGAGATAGTCTCACACTTCCATATGAAAAATCCGGTTTTAGTGCATCTGGCCTTTCTTAACATTCTCCTGAGCCCATTTAATTTCTGGGCAACACTTCAGGAGGAAGGCTAGAAGTCAGGAAGGAAGACAAGACATGATCACAGGTAATCATACGACCATATATAAATGCTCTGTTGCGTTTATTAACATCAACAGAAGAAATCATGGATGTGGTCTTTTTTTGTGTGGGTATATTTTTGGGGAAATATACAAAGTATAAAATATGTAAATGCACTAGAATGATTCAAAACTATTTGTTATTTATATTGGTATAAATACAACAATACATGCTAATAAATAATAAGATATCAAGGGCCAACATACAGTCAAAGGTCAAATAGAATGCAGTATTTTTTCTATATTCATTGATACAGTTTTTTTGCCGTTGGGAGTTGCAAGTCCAGTTTTAAAGTAAACATTTTCTCGCTGCAGCCAGTTAAAAAAAAATTCTAATGCCACGCTAAGTGAGCTGGCATTACCCACATCCAAACTTTAGGATCAAAGTCAGCATGAGATTTTGAGATTTTGAGATTTTGAGATTTCAGAAACTGTTGTGACAAAATTTCCAAAAAGCCTCTAGAACAAAGAACGAGAACAAATGACCTAACTGCTGTGTGATCAGAAATGCTTTCAGACTTAACACAATAACAACACTGCTCCATAATTTAACAGAACTACCATACTGTGTTATATATTACAGAAGTAATGGGCAGATAATGGAAGTAATGTACACAAGAGATGGAAACTGTCTCTGTCTGATACTGCAAGGGTTTATCCTCTTAATATGACATTTTAATGGTGTTCCATGCCTGTCTGTGTGTATCCCTTTAAATATGTTTTTCTGTACTTTTGCATGGTATTACTCAGCCTGTCTTGTAATATTTACATGGTCTTAGTCTGGCTGTCTTGTGATATTTAAATGCTAAATTCCCAAAACAAACCTTGCCATATTTTACATATGTCCATATATCCCTTACCATTGTGTATAATTAACTCCACTATCTACACTTTCTGTATACATTTGCATGCTTGTACAGTTTGTTGCTTTGTACATTTTATTTACTATTCAAAGTCACAGTAGCCTTCAGAGTAGTGACTCACACAGTCATTCCCGTGTCTCTTTACAGTCTAAACACAGTGCCACTGTCGCTGAAACAACCTCTGTGAATGAACTCAGAAACATTTTGCATAATCTATGTAATGTAACACCTGGAGTGGCATAAATGTAAAAGACCAAGACTATTACGCTGGTATACAAATAGATTTACAGCTATGTGAGTTAAAAAAAAAAGACAGAAGCTTTCCATGATGAATAAAGTTCCTTCTTTTTCAGAAGTATGTTTAAAAAATTGATTCCATCAGAAACATCTGTAATTTCTGTTTCCTTTAAATAATAAAACATAAATATGAAATTAGAGCTTGTGGCTTTTTCTTAGTCCCCAGTATAACAGTATATCAATTAATTTAGTGAATTAATTGTTTTTATATAGTCATTGAGGAGGGGAACAACAGATTTCAGTTTTAAAGGGGAAATGTGCCGATTCTACACACCAAAGTCTGTTTACAGGTCTTGGGGAGTACTACTGCATGGGGGGGGAGGGGGGGAGTTTTACAGAGCCTTGTACAGCTCCAGAAAGTCACTTGGCAAAGTGAGTTTACCAAACATCCGCCTCTGCACAAGGCCAGACTACCGAGGCTACATTAGCAGCAACTACCATAACACACCTTGCTTCTAAAAATCAGGCACTAAAAAAAAACAGATGTTTAGGTATACTTGAGAGTTGATGTGAGCACCAGCACGTCCACCATGCCTTTATTTAGTGAGCTGGGGTTCCTGAGTATTAGACTAAAAATGGACTTGGATGGAGCCAACTCAGTGAGCAGGATTGTCAGTGTCAACAGCATCTCAACAGCAACTAGATGACTATTCCACTTGATGCTGCTTTGCAGGTTGTCTGTGCCTGGCTTGTCTCAGGAGCACAATGCTTTGCCATATTTCACCTTAATGAAATACAACTGAAGTAACAGGATCCTCCACTGCATCACATTGGCACTGATGGCAGGAGATGATACAATATGCAAATGCATGCTTTTCCTGCCAAGTCCAGAAAAGCCTCCATGGGTCTAGACTAACCAGTCTTCACCCGTTTGCTTTGTCGAGGGATTATCCTTTATTTAGGTTAAAAGTAGCAATACCACAATCTAAAAATACTCCTCATACTCATTTTAAGTAAAAATCTGCATTTAAAAGCCTACACTATACCTAAGTATTACCAGCTAAATATTTAAAATATCATGAGGATATGCTATTATGCATAATATCATTCGATTGTAAATACTACAATCATTTTACTGTTATAGTCTACAAGAACCCCTTCAAAAAGTCTGTCATTACGATTTTGTTTTAAATTGTTCTCTAAAGTTTTATCTCTTTTTTCTGAAACATTGGATAATTTCCCTCCTTTAGGCCAAGCAGTTATTTAAATGAAATAAAAAATCTGAGAAGTTCAGAAGGGAAATGTCTCTTTGGTTGAACAGCTGACAACTTCAACATCTGAATAATAAATTACAATAATAAACTTTATTTGCATAGCACTCATCCAAACAAGGTTACAAAGTGCTGGACCAAATAAATGAGATCAAAACAAACCAACAACGAAAGATATAAAAATATAAGTAACCATACAAAACACAGTTAAACCATGGAGAGTTTGGAAAAGGTTGAATATAAATGTAGTGGCGAAAAATGTACAATATCTTGTACTGGTAAAAGTATAGTAGCGTAACGTATTATCTCAGATTAGTACTTAATCAGTGCAGTACATCCACAGTAATTAGTAAATTTGCTTAGATACCACCACTGCTGATTTGATCCTATAGTTGATGATATAGTGTGTGCTGTTTAAGAGCCCCTAAGCAAGGCAATATACAATCTGTTGCATTGTCTGGATGTTCCTGCTGATCACAAGAACATGTAAATCTCACCGGCCGTTCAAGTTTCCAAACTTTAAAATAGGCTACAATTTAATCTTTGGGTTCATCCTGTGTCAACGCTGGGGAAATAAAACAACATCCACATTGAATGCACTGGACGCTATTTTCATTTTTAGCATAACCAAACATGTTCTGCCTGGAACTATTTGCATTGCAGAGCTTATCTCATTCAACACAACACCGAGCTTCCTATTACTGTTCACATTCGAGGTTTGATCATCATCACGTAAGAATGGATGCAGCTCTCCTCAGCCAGACAAACTCAAGTACATCTAACTCCTGCACCGTGGAGTCCTCGGTGGAAAAGAACATGTATCCAACTGTCTATTCTCTTTTTTTTATTGTGGGATTTCCGGCTAACTGCCTGTCTCTGTATGCAGCCTGGATGCTGATGAGGAATGGGAACAGCACGGCAGTCTACCTCGTCAACCTGTCCATCTCTGATCTGCTCTACACAATCTCTCTGCCAGTTTGGATTGAGCTGGCCCTGCGGAGGCCTGCGGGTGGTCTCTGCAGTTTGGTGGCTGTAATCATGTACAACAGCTTTTACATCGGCTCAGGCCTCCTTTGCTGCATCTCCATTGATCGCTACCTAGCAGTGGTCTATCCTCTCCACTTTCACTGGGTCCGAGAGGTGCGGACAGCAGCAGTTGTGAGTATTGCTGTTTGGATTTTGGAGATTGCCATCCACATTATCTTGCTTGACCACACAGGGGCGCTGCAAGCTTTCTCCTCAAGACACCTGTGTGTGGAGCGAATACCTATGACAAGAGAAGATGTCCACCTCACCCTTACACGAGTCACCCTGGGTTTCTTTGTCCCTATGATCATCATGACCTTTTGCTTTCAGCAGATCATGCAATCACTTCGACAGAGCACCTCCATCCTGGCACAGGAGCGCAGGAAAGTGGGACTGATGTTGTTTTTCCTTCTCCTAACCTACATAGTGGCCTTTGCGCCCTATCAGACTGTCATGCTGCTCAGGGCCATACTGGAGCCTGGGGCCTGCATCTGGGCCACAAAGCTCAAAGATCCATACCTGGTCACAGTTGCCACGACCACCATAAACAGTACAATGGATCCTATAATATACTGTTTAATCAATGAGAACGCTAAGAACGAGATTAGGAAAGCTGTAGAGAAAGGTAGGGGAGTTCTTTTGAGGGGAAGATGGTCAGACAGGTCTACTGGAATTGAGTCAGTTTCCTAACAACAGCATTATATTAAGCATTTCATTTTAACCTGTAATTGTGAATGAAATGGAAACTGTGAAATTGACAGACAAATTATGATTTAGGATTGTGTAATGTTGACGGTAAATTGTAAGCAATGTTTTATTGTTGTAAGGGCATAATTTCCATGGGAATGGGGCATGTCCCTAAGTTGAAGCAGTGCTTTGAAAACCGATGTAGCCTGAAAGAAAATAATAAAATAATAATAACAATAATGGGACAAATCATCTCTTTTATGTGCAGTGGTTGACTATGGTGCAAACAAGATCACATTTACATTCATTACTTAATTGATTTTTTGATTTATTTATTATTACTCACTACCACAATTTATTTTTAATACTAGCAACGTTTCAATCTTAGAAGGATCTTTATCAGGTCATAATGTTTGAAAGCCTTGAAACCACACCCATATTTATAAATTATGCACATCAAAAAGCTGACAAGCTCTTTTGTGGCAGGTGTGGTTAATCATCATAGTCAATAAAGTCCATAGGAAAAACTACAGATAAAGAAGTGATAAATAATAATGTACTTCAAAATATCAATATGTACATGTTAAGATCAAGGTTTGTGGATTTTGTCCCCAATTGTACATTTTACTTTGTGGCTATTATATACAAGAGAAACAATTACAGCCACAAAAATGATTTCAGTGTACATAATGGACATGTAAGTATTGTTTTTAAGACAGACTTAAAGAATATGTGTATGCTATATCCTTTTGGGGCACGTAGGCATAACAACATAACTACGCTATGGAAATAATTAGTCAAGCGTATATATATTCCTTTATCAGACAATAATCAGTATCACCTTTACCAGAGTTTGTGACTATATTGACACACCAAACATAAAGACAAGCAGTCTCATATAGACTTAGTACCCAAATTAAATCTGCCGTGTGGTCCTCTAACACCGGTAGTTTGTTCTGTCATGGCCTGTCACCCAGTAAAAATACATACGGTAGTCAGGGACGACAAGGAGGCAGCTGCTGACTCTTCCTGTTTCTTTAAGCTGGCTTATTTAAGCAGTGGAAGACAACTGAATGAATCGTCTCTGCATCTGTTTCAATGTTTTCTATTCAATTATGATGAATTTTATGGACAGAATTTGGAGTGGAATTAAAACTGAATAAAATGTAAGTACACCTTCACATGTGTCAAATTGAGTGTACGATTTTCCTTATTAAATACTAAGATATTGTGTGTTTATGGTTGACACTTGAAGACTTTTTCTTACATTGCTGTCATGTGCATTTGCCAGCAGGATGTGTTGTGAAATGACCCCCGTGTTAGTGTATTCAAAAAAGCACAACATCAGACATTTGAGACTACATAAGCTGTGAAAATACCATTATTTTGACAAAAATGAAACAGATCAAATGTTTACTGTGATAGATTACCAATCTGGACATCAAGTTAGGGAGTTAGTCAAATACAGGCCAATTTTCCAAATTTACTAAACATAAAGTTGCCTGGAGGGTGGAAACAAATCTCAACACACAAGAAAGTATTCAACAGTAACTTAAAGCAGTTTGTGATTAATTTACTAAAACCAGCAAAACTGTGTGTGTGTGGTACTTTAAAGGTTTTTTTTTAAGATGTCAAAGTTAAAATAGCAGAGGCTGTGAAATCCTGACTTTAACTTTCAAGCATGGTTCAAGACCCAAAAACACTATATCCTACATTTCCCACAACGCAACTCAATAGCCTCTTTCAGTAGATTCTTTTTGACTGTTAAGTGCTCATATTTTTAACAGTTTGTAGCACAGGCTTTCTGTTAAAAGTTAATAAACTTTATGATATCAGGGTTCAATTTCCAATCCTCAGACAGCTTCCAAAAAAGCCACAGAAGACATTATTAAACAGTTTCTACAGGCTAAACTGAACTTAATGTGTAGAATCTGTGAAGATCCCCTTTAATTTAAGTATTTATATGCATTGATGTATCCCTTCCTCATTTCCTTCCTTGTTTCTCTACAAGGTGTGAGCATATGAACGCCACATCTGCCATGGAAAACCTAACCCTGGCAACCAGTCTTTCAGAATGTGACTTGGCTGAGAGCGCATCCAGGAGGAAGCTGTTTCTGTTTTTCTACCTGGCTATAATCATCACTTCCATCCCGTCCAACGCCTTCTCCCTTTATGTGTCCTGGCAGCACATTAGACAGAAGAACGAACTTGGTGTTTATCTATTCAGCCTGGCCCTAAGTGACCTGACCTTCACTGTCGGCCTTTCTCTGTGGCTGGACTTCCTTTGGAGAGGAGTTTGGACCCATGGAGGCTACGTTTGTGTGCTATCTGTCTACTTTCTCTTCACTAACTTTTACACCAGCGATGCTCTCCTCTGCTGCATTGCTGTTGACCGTTACCTGGCAGTGGTTCACCCATTGAAGTACACCTTCTTGAGGAAAGTTGGCACTGCAGTAGTGGTCAGCGTTGCCATTTGGGTGTTGGTGGTCTGTTTCAATGCCACCACCATCACCTGGGAGGACTCATACCATGAAAACAACAAGTTTTCTGTGTGCTTTGATATCTTCCTCCCGCTGTCAGAGAACTTGGCTCGGGCTAATGTGGCACGCTTCTTCCTGGGCTTTATTGTTCCGGTTCTCCTGGTGTTGTTTACCACCTGGGGTATCTGTGAGGCAGTGAAATCCAACCAGGCCACAGAGGAACAGGAACGTAAACGGATTTCAAAGCTGCTGACAGTAGTTCTAATCTGCATTTTGTTCTGCTTCGGACCTGTCCATGTCATGATGCTTATCCGCATACTAGTGGATGACTGCAGGAAGGTTGCATGGTTCTTTTATCCGTACAAGATCAGCATAGCTATCTCAACCCTCAACTGCCTTGCAGACCCTCTCCTTTACTGCTTCATCACTAGAACAGGGAAGGCAAATGTCTCTAAGGTTGTTCTCTTCTGCCAGCTAAAGAAGAGAAGCAAAGATGAATGTGTGGTGTAGGCTGAATAAAGTACAGGATGAAATAATGTAACAATGTTGTGGTAAACTTTACAGTTAGACATTAAATAGTAGATAAATTATTGTAAATTCAACAACACAATTACAAACACTGCTTCAAATTGCAAATGTTGCCTTTTTTCAGTGTTTGCAACTGGAACTCATTAACTTCAAATTTCTAAATCCCAACTGCAGATCTAAGAGTGAGCATTCACATTATTTTGTCCACCCTTCACTAAACTAACAGTTCACTTTTGCATGTACTGTACACCTGTGCCAACATCAACATATTATCAGCAGTGAGCCATGGAGACCAGCTGTTCCATGGTAGAATATTTGTCAAACACCACAGTTGTTCTGTTGTGTGAGACCTTCTCTAAATAGGTCCAAAGGAAATAAAGGGATTGTTATGCAAATGCTTGTTATTGTCACACTGGTTAATTTAAAAATAAAGGGCTCAATAATCATTTCAGTAATAAAATTACATTCATAATGTTCCAACTAAAAACTAAATTGTATGTAAGTTCAGTGTTTTCTGTGAAGAAAATGTAACTTTAAATTCTTTTCATGGTTGCAAACTGCTCATTTTTCCGCATTCTTGATAAAAAATAAACGTCATAAAAGAACATTTTTCTGATTGTGATTGTGGCCAATAACATCATGCACACATATACATAAAAGTACCCATAAAATATAAAATGTACCTAATATTTGAAAATATTTCAGTACAATTCTTTTTCTTTATCTATAGGTTGTGTTTTGTCATATGTTCACAAAAGTAACAAGAGCTTTGGATTACTGGTCTGAGGTGTGGCAAACTGAAACATGGATATCTGAAGCTCTCTAGAGGACAATTATGGAAGTTCAGTGAGCTCTCTACACTGTTTACACTTAGAACATTTGACTATTTTAGATCTCTTCTCTGTTGCCTTTGCACAAATTGTTTTATGACATACTTGTACTGTAGTGTTTTATTATAGCAATTACACCTAATAAAGAAATTAATTTGCCATGAACATTGTCATGTTATTTTTATTTTGACAACATGATACCAGGATTAGCCAAATCTATCTAAGATCTCAGAGGTGGTCTATGGTGGTCCTTCTGCTCTAACGCAGTAACCATACACAGACAAACACATGTCTCTGCAATTAATAAACACATACACACACAGACTTTGGCTGTGGGAATTAAAAAAAAAAACATAATATCAACCTTGTTGGGACCAACTTTGCGTCCCTGTATGGGATTTAAAAATGTGTGATACTGCTCATTTCACTGTCACGCCTTCCTAACAACAAAGGCTGGAAAGCACATGTGCTCTTCCATGTGAGTCCTTGCCTCTTTCTTCCATCCATCCATGTCAAATAATATGCTTCACCTAACAGTGAATAACCTGCATCAGCAGAACCTCGAGGCTATGAAGCCCATCTGAACACCCACCTCTCACCTTCCACTGTCCTTGACGCTGCAACAGACAGCCTTCTTTATATGTAAGGTACGCTAGTATCTGAAGCTGGAGGTAACTGGGGATCAATAGGTATTGTCAGTCAATCCCAACCTCTACTTGGATGTTGGCAGAGTTTCAGCAGTGGCACGTGTGTGAGAGTCTGTCCCCTCTCAGGCATGATGAATGAATGTAATCTACACTGGTGATCTGATTGTATCCACACACGTAATAGAAATATGATCCTCGCTGGAATGAAAAGGAGGGTGCAAAGTGAGCCTGTATTTAGAGTCAAAGTGTTGGTTAAGGACAAAAAGGGTCAAACTATGCAACAAGCCTTTGGACATTTGGTTTAAAGGAAAAAACGGGTCTTGAACAAGGATGCACAGCTACATTTTGGCCAATCCCTGCCCTGGCAGCTGTGACCGGTTCTAGGTGTTGGCAGGCAGGCTGTAGTCAGGGTTTTGTACTCATACCACACGTGCCGCAGAAAAAATCTGAACCAAATAAGACATGTGCTAAAAAAGGAAACAGATGGACAAATATAGCAGTTGTGGGGTAAAAACATTACATAAGCCATTTGTAATGTAAACTAAGAATAGAATCATTATAGTTGAACTGTATTTACCTCAGTAGTTTTATGAATAATCAGGCTGCCAATTTGGTTTAATTTACACTAAGCAATTTGCTCCAACTATAAATTGGATTTGCTGCAGTCGAAGTATCATAACATTAATATTTCCTTTCTCATTGACTCATTAGCATGAAATCTTTTTCCTCCTGCCCCTCTTTTTCATGACATTTTGTCAATTTAAATTATACATTATTCTAATCTAAATCCCCTTATAAATCTGCTCTTCACAGACACATCTCTCCCCAGCTATCTTCCCATCTATAATCCAAACTGTCCCACTGTCTTTTACGTGTTTCTTTCCCACTTGTCTGACTCAGCCATAATAATAGTTATCTTTACTCACTGGAGAGCAGAGGAGCGGAGAGCATTGAAGAGCTCTTTGTTTCCCTGTGACTCCTTTCCACATATCTAAATGGATTATTAGTTTGTGTGACGTAACGTGGCTCAAAAAAATCCCCCGGAAATGTGAGCCTTTTATTTATCTAATAGGGCATCAAGTCATATTCAGCTCTAAAGTGAGGGGAATGCAAGAACATTGGTTGCATTCATTTTTAATAAAATTATTTAAATTATAGCTTCCCTTATTCACCTGAACCAGGATTATTTAAAGATGACATATTTTCCCATAAAAAGTCATGTTGAAGAATCATATATGATGAATATACTGTATGTACATATATATATCTATCTTAATTAATTAAACATGATATTTCTGGCAGAATTCAAGACCACTGTAAGCTTTAAAGTAAATTGCTCTGTTCTTAATTGTGTCCATAATTGCATGTAATGTAACTTTTAGGACAGCGACAGCTTGTGGACCACTCCGGCTCTGCCACAAAGGTATTTGGCTCCTCTCCAAAGGGGTATAAATATAAAACTCATGTAAACCCATATAAATACTACCTTGCAGCATCTAATAATCAATTATTTGTGACAGTCTGACAGAAATTGTCTGGTTGTAACAACAACAGAACTTTCATTGAACCATAAATGAAGCAGGTTGCTGTTGATCATCATGTATAATGTGTAGTCTTGAAGTGCAACACATAACATTGCCTATATGAGTTAAATTAGAGACTCAAAAATGTAATATTCTAACAAACAATACATTGAAATCATATTAAGCTGCATCTCTACCTACCTCTACTCTAAACCTCTGCCTGTAAAACTATGTGTTTGACAAGAATTCAAGGTTGCTACTTTTTTATTTAAGTATCAAGAGTAGCCTTTTCTCTATATATTTCTCCATTTTGGCAATACACTGCTTCTTTACCACATTTGGATTTTAAGAAATTTCTTAGACTTTTGTTAAACTGAAGATATAAGACATCAAAAGATAATAGAGTCATAAAAAGACAGCATATCCCCATAAAAATAATAATGTTCCTTTTTTGTGTAATTCTTCAGCCTGAGAGGACGTTTATTGTTTATTGTACAATACAGTACTGAGCAGGGTATTTTTTGAATTTTAGGCAACAAATATTATTGCTATAGCACAGTTAAAGGTCCAGAAGGCAACATGAGGTGTCTGTACATATAAAAGACTCATTCTAAGGTAACAAAAACACACAAATGGAAACATACCAATGAATATTAGTTTCCATTTCTGCCAATAAATCCCCCTAAATGTTTCACACTGGACCATTAATTTTATAGAATAGAATAGACACATGCACTGCTTCTGACAATGGCGACATATTGCACAGCCCTCATGGCCAACACCCTACATTACCTGTTTGAGAATCTTAATATTCATAGGCAAGAATTAAATTAAATTAAAATGTTTATAACGGTTCAGCCTGCTCTGGCAAACCTTGAATCTTCTACCAGAGGGTAAAAAAGCTGGAACTCTAGGTGGAGAATGAAGGTTGAAGTTTGTTATATCAGCTGGACAGACAACTAACCATCCTAGGCTGTTACCCAGGACTGCATGGTAAAAAGGTGAACTTCATCTTCATCAATTCTGATCCTACTTAAAAAATATCCGCTGTAAGTAAGTAAGTAAGTAAGTAAGTAAGTAAGTACATCCGCTGTTGCAATCTGGAGCAGAGACTATCAAAATGGGCCCTCCAGCTAAGTGTGTTATCAATGTGGACCCTGACTTGAATGCTGGTTTCGTTGTGTATGACCACCGGCCTAAGATTGCCCACTGCCTTATCAAACATCACCCTAACTGTACTGTACTGTACTGAACTACAAAGGCAAACTACAAGTGCAACAACACAGTAACTACAATTTTAATCAAAACTGAGTTATGTCTGAAAATGAACTTTAAACTGTCTGTTTTTGTGACACATTTTCAGTTCAAATCTTAAAACCTAAAACAATATAAAAATATACAAAATCCAACCAAAAACCAAGACAAACCTTACTTACCTTGTTTTCTGGGCTCTCCCTCAGCTTCTCAGAGCTTCGGCTGCAGTTACTGCGGCTTCAGTGTCAGTAAATCCTGTATTCTAGACAATTACTGTGCCACCGCTGACTAGCCAGACAGGACAAGGGAATCCTGTGTTAATTAGACTGCACAAAATAATACTTAAATTCTTAAATAATCGTCTATTTCAACTTTTTACAGATGCAACAATATGAAATACAGATTTAATGTAATAAGACATCAAATTAGATTTAGAGTTTCTCAGGAAGAAGACACTAAAACCATAGTTACTGCATCTGTTTATGGTAATACAAAGACAGTGCAGTGGTATTTTGGGGTCATAGATCAAATAATTGGTCGTGATTTTTAACCCAAAAAAAGAAACTACGTATTTAATAAACACATAACCGTTGTTCTACCTAAAACACATTTGGCTGGACAGTCAGGCAACATTTTTCTCAGTTTCCCTGTTAGCATAGTGACTGCAGGCTTTGTATGGCAGTGTAGTATGGTCATAATGTGCATTAAAGGTAAATTCTACTTATAGCCCCTTCAAATCTGCATCAGTGTGGAGGAATATACAGGAGCTGTCTGTTCACAATTAAAATATTTCCTTTGTCGTAATTGTGGGCAGTTTAGGAGCAATGGCGATTCTGAAAGCTCATTGGCCACCCCAGATCTGATTGGTAGTTGGTCAAGTTCGTCAACACAAGAAACAAGAGAAATGCTGTCAATCAATGATGACAGCTGATCAACTGATTTAGGGCCAGTTTTACATGTTTAACTAACACAGTAATGGTCATACTGAGGCTGTGAGAGCTGATTTCTGCTCAGCGGACGTTTGGCCATGCGGCTCAGATGACCCATGAGAGGAGCACGCTGCACCTGCTGCTGGTCCGTGAAACAGGAGGACAGTCACAGTTACAACATCAACAACACAACAACGATAAAAACACTGAAATCTGTCGATTGAGAGGTATGGTAATTTAATGTGTAGTTATATCGTAGTTCCCTCTGAATGTGTGGTTAAACTTTATCTAGCACTAAGTAGCAGCTAAAAGTCCAACTACACTGCACTATCTAGCTTAGCAGCCTGCAAACCAAGTTAAGCATTGAACGTTAGCGTTTAGTTTTTTTAAATGTTATTTGGATACCGCCATGAAATATGAAACGCTATTTTCTGGACTGAAGACTGAGGGTGTTTTTTGCAGTGTTCAATAGAGCTAATGTTATATTTTTGGCCAACCGGTGTGTGAAATAAAGTGTGACAGTCTGGATTTAAGTAGCTATAACACAAGAACAAGCTGTGACTTATTTATTTGCTCTGTGCTTTAAGGGCTGTTTAAAGACTTTTTTCTCTTGGAGATAAAGGACTTTTTGTTCGTATCAAGTAGCTCATCTTCACCGTTCACATGTTTTTAGACGTTTAAATAGACAGAGGCAGAGCAAATTGCATTCAAATGCCACAAATGCTTGAGATGCAATATGTGTTAATTGTGTTATTAAAAGTGAGTGGTAAGAGTGGTTGTTATGTAAAAATAAACCTTTGTAGATC